CAATTCCAGCCCCGAAATTGAGAGTTACACCCGCAGCTTGTATTGGAGAATGGAAGGGAGTGCTTCACTATGTGATGATAACCGAGCAAGGTATTCATGTGTGGCATCTTAAAGATGACCATGAGACTAAATGGGAATCAAAGTTCTGGAAATCATTGGAAGAGATCGAAGGGGAGAATTCTAAGTTCTTCTGCAATTTGAGGCATTCGGTTTTGCAAAGAGCAGGTATACTTCAAAGGCCATGGATGGATCCTTTAAGTTTCAAGGATGGGGTTTTATTGATGAAGGTGGGTGATAATATTTACTTTTATAACATTGAGAAGAACATCGTGGTTGAATCCTGCAATCTTCGTGACCTGACTAAGTCCTTACCTTGTCCAAGGCCTAGTGTGTTTCCTTATTCCATGAGTTTAGTACCTTTAGAATAATCATAGGAGTGGTCCTTTTTAACTCTCTCTATTATATTTCACGAAATCAGATGGAACAAACATGTCAAATATGTTCACAATGGTGTAACAGTTATCTGTTAGTAACTGACACTTGAACATCTAAATTCTTGAACTAGGTTTTTCTTGGGTGTGTGGGGGCCGTAGGGCCTTGTTTTTCTATGGTAAACTATTTTGTTTGGGCAGGCCTCAAAGAAGATTGCATATTTGGTGGGGTCAAATGGGAGTGGGAATATGAAAACTTTTGTTAGAATCCATTTTTGTCAATGTTGCATTTTACACAATGCTTCTTCCCTCCTATTTCTTACATCATGGTTATTGGCACCAGCATCTGAACCCTAAACATAATAATCGTCTAATCATTACTGTCTTACCTTGGATACCGACTTTGATAATCCTCTTGCTTTGCCTTTTATGAGCAACCTATGCTTTCTGAATATGTTACTAGATTAAAATGGTTTTTTCAATGTTATGTAAATATATTTCTTGCACAGATTGATAATCATAAATTCTTATACTTTCACTGATAATATTTTTTCTTCCCATATATTTTGAGCTGTTATATTTTTTGAATTATCTTTTTTATGATACTGCTATGTGGATAGTGTTTTCTGTCATATCCTTATTCAATATTACATGAACACTGAGCATATAGGGAATTATGCTCTTATGGATATTTTAATTGTAAAAATTTTGATATTGATATATTTAAGAAATTGCTTTATTTTCACCTTAAAATAAATTTATTTCTAAATTTTGGAGAGAAAGACAAAAATATTTGTAGCGGCTAATTTGAATACTTCGGAATATTTTTTAAATAATACTACTTCTGATCTTAGTTATAAGATCTCGTTTGATTAAAAAATTTCATAATATATGAAATTTTTAATCAAATACATAAAAATTGTGAAAATAAAAAAATTAGTTGACGACCCAGATTAAAGCTGTTGCCGTGTGGGGCCTACCCTGGATGAACACTTCATGTTGCAAATACCTTGCTTGAAAATACGTCTTTTATCTATGATATTTTTCTTAAGGGTAACGTTAGGACAAATAAATATCCTCTCAAGTCTTTTTAATAATAATAATAATAATAATAATAATAATAATAATAATAATAATAATAATTCCGGTCCAAAAAAAATAACAATAGTAGCAGTAGTTACGGGTATTTCCCTCTGCAAGTTGCAAAGTATCATTCGCCGATGACTTGAAGCGCGAACTTGTCCCACATCGGAGCTGTCATAGAATCGTAATATGCTAGAAGGTTCTGGATCCAAATAATTTCATCTCATGAAAAATCATATTTATTTTAAGGAAAATCACTTCCAGGCCCACACAACAATAACAAAAGGGATCTTAACTTAATATTATGATGTTTTTTAAATTCTTCCTATTATTTGTACATATTAAGTATAAATAATTAAAGACAAAAACCTAGTCCAAAATTTAATATTATCTCCGGTCCTAATTATAAGATTTTGTTTATAATCTACAAATTGGATCTTATAATTAAGACCAGAATTAGTATATCAAATATAAAGAAGCGAACTTTTTTCTTAACTTAATATTCTTAATCTCCATGTATGAAACAATAATGACTAACTAACTTTGATTAAAAGTTGTTCATTGATTTGCAAAAATTAAGTTGAATTTTTAAGATGGACAGATTACAAAATTACAGAGTTGAAGAGCAGAGACAAATCCCAAGATATTTATTAAAAGCAGAGTAACTAATCTGCATTTGTCCCTAATAATCAGCCCAGTGTCAAATAATAAATAGGAGTTAATATTTCTAGATGGATATGTGACTTTTGCAGAGGCTAGAGTCAACTACAATTATTTATGGTTCATGTGGATTGATAATGATTGATGGGAGAGTTCAAAATATTAACCAAGAAAAAAAAGTAAGTAAAAAATTGAAAAAAAAAATATTTGAGTAGTTTTTTAGAATACTTCTTTGATCTTATTTATATGGTGGAGAAAGAAAATATTTTTAGTCCTATTTATAAGGATATTAAGAGAAATTTTTTATATGGATGTACAACTTTACCTTTCATTTATTATTATGTTGACTTTGTTTATATAAGGTATAATATATATTAAATAGGGATAAAGTTAAAAATTTATTAGATTTTAAATGAGAGTTAGTGAAATTTAAAATTTTTTTAATCTATATAAAACATGTTGAAAATGACTTATAAATAGAATTAGAAGAATATTAATTACTGTATTAGGACACCAAATTTTCAAAAAAAGAATCAAGATTTTGGTTGAAAATTGAAATCGACATTTTTTTTTAGTTGACAACACAGATCCATGCCCACCAGCCATCAATCCATCATCACCACTAACTGGCATCTTTGTAGTAGGGGTGTTCAAGAAGGATCCGTCCCGATCGGCCCGTTCCGATCCTGGTCTTATTGGGACGGGATGGGACATGGGACGGGGTCGTCCCGTCCCGGTCCCGTCTCGATCCTTTTTTTTTATAATTTTTTTATCCCATTTATATAATATTATTTTTTTCATATTTTTTTAAGATTTGAGACTATTGTATGGAACTATGGATATATTTATTTAGAGTTTTTATATTTGTTAATGATTTGAGATTATTGATGATTAGAATTTTTAGTAAGTTTTTATTGTGTTAAAAGCTTTTATTTAGAGTTTTTAATGATTATTATATGTAATATTTTGAGTTTTTGTTTAAGAGTGTCCAAACAAATAAAAAAGAAAATAAAAAGATGTTTTTATAAGGTTTAAGCTCAAAAAAACAAAATTAAAAAAATCAGATTTTATTTAAAAAATTTTTAAAAAAAAAAATTAAAAAAAAAAGAGGTTCGGGACGTCCCGGTCCCGTCCCGTCCCGACCGGGATCGGGACAACCCCGAGACGGGTCGGGACACGGGACAGAAAATCTGTCCCGTTACTGTTCATCGGGACGGAACCGGGACGAGCCTGTCCCGATCCCGATCCGTCCCATGAACAGCCCTACTTTGTAGTATTCATTTTTCATTTCTTCATATTCATTTTCTTATATTTTTACTTTACTTTAATCATTTTATCTCTAAACTTTAATTTTTCTGTACTTATTTTTTAAAATTTTTTTAGTATTCACATTTAATTTTTTCTTGTTAAAAAGGTGTTACCGGAAAAATATGCATTTGAAACAGAATACTTCAGCATGAAGTGTATATAATTAAATGTTGCAAATATAACAGAAAAGTACCCATTAAATTTTAAAATGACCATCGGTGATTTTATCATGTCAAGAGCTTTGCAAGAATAACCAATACATTTGCACCAAATCACCAATACCAAACTTTACTTATTTGTTATTTTGAAATTTAACATGTATTTTATGGTTATTTTCCTAAAAGTTTTTTTGGCCAAATTAAATTCGTAGAATAAGCCAAATATGGATTTCATGTAGTGCAGAATAAAAAAGGATTTTACGTCCAGATAATGGCTTGATTTTATTTTGATTGAGGTTTTTTTTTTTGTCTTATAATTTTTGCTAAATTTCGCTCACCGCAATTTTATGGCTCCGAATGAAAGATCTTTTTTCCCCCATTTGTGGAAGATATGATCCCAAATGCGTAATATATTCCCTGTTCTAGATAATTAAGTTATGAAAAAAAAATAACGTAGTTAAATTAATTGTTTAAAAAATGTGTGCTTTTTTACCAAAAATACCTTTTTAATAATTTGTATTGAAAATTACTTCATTAATAAACATTTCTTTTTAATATATCCAACAATAAGAATAGCTTAAAAAATTATAAATTTAAAAGAGAGTAGATAACATTTAGAATCACGCATGACAAATATAGAGTGGGAGATAATATATTGATCTAATTTATAAAGAGTTAAGTAAAATCCTATCAAAACACGAGCTCTCCACATTAATAAGGATGAAGATTCAAATCTTGTTAACAGAATTTTATTATTCGATAATTTTATTGTTTACTTTAATTAATTATACACACATATAGATTTAGTCTTATCATTATCGTCATCATTAATTTTATAATTTAAAAATAAACTCAATGGATAATCGATAATAATATTATTCATATCATCAATAAAGAAAAACAGATAGATATAATTTTAATTTTAAAAAATATATAAATAATTATCCAAATTTTCATTTTTTTTGCTGTATTTACCTCTTCTCCCAAATTTTAGTTAATGACATAAAAAATTAATTTCGAAAAATAAAATAAAATAGAAAAATCTCACTGCACACATTGACAATCGAACACTTATTTAAGTTAATAAATTTTAAACAGAATTTATAAAAATTAAATAAGAGCACAAACATTTAAATGTAAAGATAAAATACAATACATTGATTTTCTTTGATTCTGCTTACCGTACAGAGTCCAGACTTGTGACGGAAAAAGTGTAATTGTCAAATAAATGAGTCACCGCCCAGTCGCACACCTACCAATAGCGGCGCGTGAAAATCGGCGCGTGGGATCAGTTAACCATCTCTGTACCATCCCCCGTCTGTTTTTATTTTCACATTTTACGGCTAAGCTATCCTCTCACGCAGTTGCGCTACGGTCTTCCTCTCTCTCCCCTTCCTTTCTCTTGACACGGGTAATATGTCGTCCGCCGGCGGCGACGGTGGAGGGAGCGGCGGCGGGATTGCTTTCAGCGGTTCTTCTCAACTCTATTTTTGCCATGAGTGCAACGCCACCGTATCCATTAGGACTTCATCTTCCTCTGATCTCGCTTGTCCCAATTGCAACGGCGGCTTCATTGAGGAAGTCGATAATCCCGCCCCTAATTTTTCTAATCCCTTCTTTTCGTTTACTTCTGAGTTTGGCGGCGGCGGTGCCGGCTTTCCTCTAGTATTTTCCACCACTTCCACCGGCGGCGGTAGTGGTGCTGGTGCACCGATAATCGACGATCTCTCTACTCTCTTTGGTGGTGGACCTAATCGATCGTCTCCGTTCGGGGAAACTGATGCGTTCAACCCTTTTGTTTTTCTTCAGAACTATCTTCAAACCCTGAGAGCCGGCGGTGCTAATGTTCAATTTGTGATAGAGAACTCTGGAGACCCCGGTGGAACCTTCCGTCTGCCCGCGAATCTCAATTTTGGTGATTATTTTTTTGGACCTGGCCTCGAGCAATTGATTCAACAGCTTGCGGAGAACGATCCTAACCGACACGGGACGCCTCCAGCTTCGAAATCTGCCATTGAGGGCCTTCCTACGATTAAGATTTCAGAAGAGTTGCTGGCTTCGGAATCATCGCAGTGTGCCGTTTGTAAAGATACATTTGAGCTCGAGGAAGAGGCGAAGCAGATGCCATGTAAACATATATATCATTCAGATTGCATTTTGCCTTGGTTGGAATTGCATAATTCTTGCCCTGTTTGCCGTTACGAGTTACCAACGGATGATCCTGACTACGAACAACGAGCTGGTGGGACATCTACACAGGAGAATCGAAATCAATCTGCAGGGGAAGGTGAGTCCGCTGGTTCTTCTGAAGGAGGTAATGGGGGCAGCGGTGACGGTGGTAGTGCAACATCTGGAGAAGACACACCGAGAGAACGCAGGTTTAGGGTTTCTTTGCCTTGGCCTTTTAGGCAACTAGCTTCCATAGCCGAGACTAGCAGTACTGGGAATGCCAACGTCAGCGGAAATAATAGCGGGGAATCAAATTCCGGAAGAAGTGGAAACCAGAATTTTGAGTCGGAGACCAGACAAGAAGATCTCGATTAAGACCTGCGAGTAATTTTTCTGTAAGTTTGAAACCTTCTGTTGTTCTTTGGTTTTGAATTCCTTTTCTTTTGTTAGATTGGTTGAAACTTATGCTTGTGTGTATTTCCATGTACAACGATCTTTGTTTTGCCGTCACAACTCACAAGTAATATGATCGAGAAGTACTGAGGTGCAGCTTAATTTTGGAATCTTCTTGTTATTACCCTTGCTTTCCATTTTTTTACTTACTGTTTGATTGTTCTTTAGCCACTGAAACCTCCCACTGAAACTTCCTGAGCAAATTAACTAGCTGACTAACTGTGTTTGATTAGAAACTTATTGGCTGTCATTGTTTACTTAGCTAGAGGTTATGGGCATTAGAGGAGCTCACTTTTAAGAAATAATTGATCTTTTTGGTTGGAGGCATCTTATTGTCTTTTTTATGCTTTACTGGCGGTGAATTGGCAGTAGCGGGTTGATCATGGTGAATCTTTTGGGTGGGGGTACACATTGATCCAAGCCGGAGGAAAATATTTTGGCACGTGTGGTCAGATGTTTGCATGGATGGTGGTTTTCATCCAATTTTAAAGGAAAAATACCAGCTCAACAAGAGCAGCTGTTTGTCTGGTCATTTTTTGGCTTATCTTGCATCTGACTTATCAAAGGATGTGAGTTTGGTTGGTTTTATTCAACATGCATAGCCCACAAGAAGATGAAGATGAATGTAAAAGGAGTTTATATCGTGTCATTAACTCTGAGTTTGATGAACAGCAATATTGTCAGTGGCATATAACGGGAAGCCCCGAAACTGCCACCCCATTTTGCTGGTGACTGTTGATGAATATTAGTTAACTGCAATTGCAGCAAACTTTATTTTTTATTTATTTTCTTTGAACCTTGTTCAGAACTTTTGTAAAGTTGGGTTGCTAACTTGCACATCTGACTGCAACTTTGATGTGTCCTAACTAATGGCCCGTGAGTTTTGAGATGTTAGAGTGAGAGGAAGTGGTTGCATACATTGGTTTTTTTTATTTTTTGGGTGTGTGTTTTTTTTTTTGGGGGGGGGGGGTGGGGTTGTTGGAGGCCAGAAGGAAGAGAAGCAAGCAGCCAGTGGGAGAATGCGTTGGGATGCCCTACCATCTCAAATGGTGGAACATTGTGTTCCTTGTGGGTTTTCTTGCATTTTTATTGCTGTTTGTGCCTTAATCCGTTAGACTTAACTCTGGCTGGATTGTTCTCTTTTGAATAATGCATTTCTGGAGCTGATCCCATCATTATGCATCATAGCGGTACAATTCGAGAGAGGGGGAAAACAAAATGGGGATTCAGCTGGAAGAAACACATAAGAAGATTTGCAATGTGGAGAATGGAGAGGAAGCTGGAAAGCTGTTCAACACATGCAGACAATATAATAGAAAAGATGAAGCATATGGAAGGATCGATCAAGGAAATACAAGAACAAATCAGAGATATAAAGGAAGAGTTGAGGATAGAGAAAGCAGAACAGTCGAAACAGAGGAAGAAAAAGAAAAAGAGCATGATCAAGAATAAGTTGAATTAAAAATCTTGGGGGAGCAATTACCTCAAGTGATTTGAGTGAAAGAAAAAGAGGCAAGAGAGACTTGCAAGAAACCTACTGGATCGAAGGTTTGAGAGTAATCCTGAAGAGAATTGCTAGGAGCATGTGTGTTTTGTTCTGTTCTTATTTTCCAGATACCTGTAGCTGATCCAGCTTAGACTTACATTCTGTCTGGATTTTACTCCTGTGACTAATACATTTCTGGAGCTGATCCCATCAAACTTAAATTGGGGAATCATACAGAGTTCTACAGTAAGCTTTAACAGCTCTCTTTTTTATCAACTCGTGCTTTGTGAAATAAGGTGCATGGCATGACGTGTATGACTTGGTACAAATTCTGAATCAATCAGGCATCATTCAATTTTGTTGACTTTTCATAGCAAATTGGCCGTTTCTGATATTTGAAGTTGATAAAATGTCAATATTATAGGCCCAGCTAAGATTCTTCAAGAGGTTTTTAATCTTGCCCGATTGCTTATTTTCACTTCAGCTCAAAGATCTGCAGACTTAGTTGTAGATGCTACTATATTTTCCTCTTTGCATTTTGCCTTTTAGCTTTCATAGAAGTATTTTCACCCAACTGCTATGAATCTCAACTAAGAAGAGAATTTGATGAGTTGGAAGGAACATTAGATTTGGGATTTTTTGTTTGGAAACCTCAAAATTTATCCAAAATTTTTATTTAGCGCGCACAAACACACACTTATCGTGGATGGTGGTTTTGATTGACACACAAGCTGAGCGCGTAGCCTAACCTACTTCATTGTACTTGGATGAGTTCCTTCGCATCTATAATAGTTATTATGAACTATTTTTGCATTTGTATTGATTTGTATGATGGTAAGTTTTATAGATATGTTGGCTTCCATGAAGGACAGTTTTATAAATTAGAGTGGGCCCTTGCAATTATATGGAGCAAATTCACGGCTTATGAACAGTGTGGTTTTTATAACTTATAGATATGTCGTTGTCAGCCTTTTTTTTTACCTATATATTTGATTTCATTATAGAAGCCATCTTGGTAGTTTATGTGTCTAACTGGGATGTATGTTGCCAAATTATATTTCGAGCATCTTATTGGTAAATGTGTTGGAAATTGGAATTTATGGTAGCAGGACTTAGGTGTTGAAGAAGAATGCTCTCCAGCCCTTTCTACCTTCCTTTTATTTGTGAGCTTCTGGAGATAAAGTTGCATAAGAACATGAAAAACTCACCTATTGTCTGGATAAAACTAGAAGATAGTCCTTAAAGTTTACTTGGATTGCTTCTAGAATAAATCTAGGGGGGTTACTGTGGTTCTTTGGGTTATTATGTTTTGTCTCAGACTAATGAGCTTGCTAATTGATGCTTAAGAAAGAGATTTTTGTATATTGAGCACCGGATTACAAGATGATTGTATCGATAATAAGCTGCACTATGGCATATAATTTGAAGTTTTTTCCCCCCCTGTTGGACCAACTTGAAAGTTATTCATGCTCGAAAAGGGAATTTGCTAACCCAGATTGCTATTTTCTTTTTATTCATGGTTGGTAGATTGCTGCCCCAACTTCCCTTGTATCAATTATTTCATTAACAATGATACCTATATTTCTCAGTTTTTCCGTATTATTAGCCCGTTCTAGTTTTATAATCATTAGGACTCTCATTTTCAACACTGATTACTGAAACGATATGCCCGATATTCTCAAACCGTTTTCCTCCCTTTTTCTGGACCTTTTGATGTATACCAGCTATACGGTGAATATATGTTTTATGATATACTCCTTTGGTCCTATTTATAAGGTAGAGAAGGTTTTTTTTTTTTTTCTTTTTCTATGTGTATAAGTCACTTCATTAAATTTTCAGTATGAATGTATTATTTTGTCTTTCATTTATTATGGTGTAGGTAGTTATCTCTTTTGAGATGTGTATATATTAAATATGGGTAAAGTTGAAAAATTGTTATATTTTAATGGAGAGTTAATGTATTTTAAGGTTTTTTTTTTTTTTGTCTGTGTGAAATATGTTAGAAGTATCTTATAAATAGGACCAGAGGATTAATTGCTTAAGGGAAGGCTATGATCTCGAGATGATTTTCACTTGGTTCTTCTCTTTTGGCAGGTTTACAGTGTTTCAAATCTGCATCATTGTTCAATAGGAAGGATGTGAAATGTCCATTGCTAGTGGTTAGTGAGAGTTGCGAACATCATATTTCATCTTGAGAAACATAGGTAACTTGCTATCATCATCTTGACAGGTAGAATTATTTATAAATTCATCTTCTTATTGGATTATGATGAAACTTCTTATTTTCTGGGATTTCTATCGTTTGCTTCATTCGAACTCCTATTG